GAAATAGTTTCTCAGATAACTGCAGAGATAGTGACCATAATGAAAAACATGAATAATAACTCTAGAGCAGATACACATAGAAAAAATAGAGCTTAGGAAAATGATGGAAACTATTAACACACAAAATAGGACAGAAATGGACTCCATGAAATAGATTCAAACAGATATCCAGGAGATTAAAAATTCCATTGAAAGTATAAGCAGCAGAATGATCCAGTGTGAGGACAGAATATCAGACAGAAGACAAGATGGTGGTTAGCAATCATGAAAAGAAAGATTTATTAAGTATAGCAAGGGGCCATGAAAACTCAATTCAACAGCTGTGAGATGATGCAAAGAAGAATAACAAAATTGATCAGAGTCTATGAAAAAGCAGGAGATAGTGCAAATGACATAAAAAAAACCTGTTCACAAATAGTAGCAGAAAAACGCACAAACAGGCAAAAAGAAATTGACATACAGATAAGTGAGGCATACAGAATTCCAATTATCCATGATCAAAAAAAATCTACATCAAAGCATATAATACTCAAGATTCCAGAAATTCAACACAAGAACAGAATATTAAAAGCTATTAGAGAACAGAAATAAATCATCTATAAAGGAAAGCCCATCAGAATCACAGCAGAGTTATCAACACACACCCTCTTGTCAAAGAAAGTTTGGAGTGAAGTATTTCAAGCCCTAAAAGAAAAAGATCTCCAACCCAGACTGATGTATCCCACAAAACTATCTTTCAAAATTGATGGAGTAATACATTTCCATGACAAAGAGCACCTGAAGAAATTCATGACTGCCAAACCAGCACTTCAAACGTTTTGAACGACACTCTAGAAAGAGATAACAAGGACTAAAACTCCATGAACCCCAACAGAATTAATTCACCAGGCAAGGCAAGCAATTAAACATGGGGGAAAAGGGGGAACCAACAACAGGAAAATAACATGACAAGGATAAGTCAATACATATCAGTTATAGCCATCAATGTAAATGGTCTCAATTCACCAATCAAAAGAAACAAACTGGCAGAATGGATCAAGAAGCAAGATCCAACAATATGCTACATACAAGAAATACATTTAATTCAAAAAGAAAGTCATAAACTGAAACTCAAAGAATTGAAAACAATACTGAATGCAGCAGGAACCTTGAAAAAAGCAGGGGTAGCTATTTTATTTGCAGACAAACTGGATTTCAAATTGTGATGGTTGACTGATTGTGTCAATTTGAGAAGTTTGTTTAATAGAAGCTTAGCTAAATTGCCTCAACAATTCCATACCCGAGAGAACACCCTAGGGTGGCTCTTCCACCACCCTAGCATTTGGAGGACCCACCCTAGGGCAGCTCCTGGCCTGGATGTTATAAAGAGGAAATGAGGAAGGATGCTGCTACTTCTGTTCCTTCCGAGCAGCCCCAGTCTTTGCTTTAGACATCATCTCCTGCCTTCTAGTGCAGACTCTTCAGCTTCCTGTGTGGATCCTTCAGCCTTCCAGCATAGATTCCTCAGCCTTCCATTGCAGACTCATTGGGCTCCTGATACAGACTTGCATGGGACACTGCAGTGAGCTCCAGACCTTCGACTAAATCCTTTGGTCTCCAGTGTGAAGACAGGCCCCTGGACTCTTCCTCAACCCACACTGTGGGTGGCCATTATAAGTCAATCTTGTAAATTCATGGATACTTGTATATCTTTTGTTATATCTGTTTCTCTAGTAAATACTGACTGATACACAAGGCAAGAATGATGAAGAGAGACAAAGAAGGTCACTACATCCTTGTAAAGGGAACAATCCAAGAGGAAGAGATAACAATCATAAATATATATGCACCAAATACCAGCACACCCAACTATATAAAACAAATATTACTGGACATGAAAAATCAAATAAGCACTAATACACTTGTAATGGGGGACTCCGTACCCTACTGTCACAAATAGATCAACTAGACAAAAAAGAAAGGAATATCAGAACTGAATCAAACTTTTGAACAAATGGACAGTAGATGTCTACAGAGTGTTTCACCCCACAACATCAGAATACATATTCTTCTCAGCTGCACACATCACATTATCCAAAATAGACCTCATACTAGATCATAGAACATGCTTCAGTAAATGCAAAGGAACTGAAAATATCCCTTGCATATTCTCAGACCATAGTGCAATGAAATTGGAAATCAATGGCAAAAGAAACCACAAGAACTTCATAAACACATGGAAATTAAATAATACCCTCCTGAACAACCAATGGGTCACAGATGAAATTTAGAAAATATTAAACAGTTTCTTCAATTAAATGATCATGCCAATACAATATACCAGAACTTATGGGACACAATGAAAGCACTCCTATAAGGGAAATTTATAGCAGTAAATTACCATATCAGAAAAATAAGAGTGAGCTCAAATAAACAAGCTAATGTTGAATCTCAAGCTCCCAGGAAAAGAAGAACAAGTCAAGCCCAGAGTTCATGTGAGGGAGGAAATTATAAAGATTAGAGCAGAAATTAATGCAATGGAGACTAAGAAAACAATACAAAGAATCAATGAATCAAAGAATAATTAAAAGGGCCAGGGATTTGGCTCAGTGGTGCCCATGCCTGCCTTGCAAGCACAAGATCCTGAGTTTGATCCCCAGTACCAAAAACAAACAAACAAACAAAAAGAATAATTAAAAACCTACCAACAAAAAAAAGTCCAGGCCCTGACAGATTCACCGCTGAATTCTACAAGAAATTTAGAGAAGATCTAATGCCATTACTTTTCAAACTCTAATTAGGGCCAGGGATTTAGCTCAGTGGTTCCAGCGCCTGCCTTGCAAGGTCCTGAGTTCAATCCCCGGTACCAAAAAAAACCACAAAAACCTCTAATGAAATTGAAAGGGAAGCAATACTCCCAGATTCATTTCTGGAAGCAAGCATTACCTTGACACCAAAACCAGAGAAGGATCTAACCAAAGAAGAAAGCTACAGGCCAACCTCACTAATGAATATAGACGCAAAAATCCTCAAAAAGATACTGGTAAACAGAATGTAGCAAATCATCAAGAAGGCTACACTCCATGACCAAGTAGGATGCATCCCAGGCATGCAGGGATGATTCAACATACAAATCAATAAATGTTAACAGAGCCAAGGACAAAAACTATATGATCCTCTCAATAGATGCAGAAAAAGCATTTAACACAGTCCCACACCCATTTATGATATAAAACCCTACAGAAAATTGGAATAGATGGTCTTTATCTCAATCTGATAAAAGCCATCTATGGCAAACCAACAACCAACATCATACTAAATGAAAAAAAATTGAAAGGTTTCACTCTAAAATCAGGAACAAGACAAGGATTTCCACTGTCACCACTCTTATTCAATATAGTTCTGGGACCATTAGCCAGCACAATTAAACAGAGAAAGAAATAAAAGAAATAAGGATAGGAAATGAAGACGTTGAATTATCATTATTTGCAGATGACATGATACTCTACATAGAAGACCCCAAAAACTCCACCAAAAGACTTCTAGATTTAATAATCAAATTCAGTAGCATAGCTGAATACAAAGTCAATACTCAAAAATCAATAGCATTCCAGTATAAAAATAAAACTCACTGAGAGAGAAATTAGGGAAACAACACCTTTCACAATAGCATCCAAAGCATAAAATATCAAGGAATCAATCTAATAAATGAAGTAAAAGACCTTTACATGGAAAACTACAAACTCTTAAAAAGGAGATTGAAGAGGATATCAGAAAATGGAAAGATATCCCTTACTCTTGGGTAGGAAGAACCACTATAGTGAAAATGGACATACTTCCAAAACTGTTATGTAGATTTAATGCAATCATGATAAAAATATCAATAGCATATCTCACAGAATTTGAGAAAACAATCCAGGATTCATTGGGAACCCAAAGAGACCTAGAATAGCAAAAGAAATTCTGGGCAACAAAGACAAGGCAAGAGGGCATCACAATCCCTGACTTGAAATTATACTACAAAGCTCATCCATGGATGAATGGATAAAGAAGATATGTTTTTTATACAGTGGAGTACTACTCTGCCATAAAGAGGGATAAACTGAGACATTTCTAGCTAAATTGATGCACTTTGAAACCATGCTTTTAAGTGAAATAAATCAGACACACATGTTTAAATACTGCATTGTTTCTCTGGGGTAAGAAACCAAAAGTGTAAATAAGGACCAAAATGTATAATAGATATTGGGACATAGGAAGAAAATGTTCAAATGAGAAGGTGAACAAGAAAGGGGGTAAGGGGAAGGAAAGAAGGGAGAAGAAAAAAAGAATAGAAAGAAAAATTGGAAACAAAACTTTTGTAAATGAGGGGAAGAGGGATCAAAGGGAGGTGGGAATGGAAAAAAAGAAGGAAGATCATGTGTAGGTACAAATTCCCTATGATGAATATTATTGTTGGTTATCTAAAATGTTCCAACAAATGTTTTGCTTAAAAAAACACTACTTTTAAAATTATTTTAATTTTATATAAGCAAAAATTATATTAAAAAATATTATGCCATGACTGAGGCCTTGTGGCATTATTATAGTTCTACTGTCCCTTCTCTACAATTTTGAAATGTAAACATTCTGAACACGAAATTTTTTTCATAATTCTGATGTAAACTTACTGGAGAGCAAACACTTCACAGGATTTCCATTTCTTTGGATATGTTAAAGTCTTTATCAGTGCTATGAGAATGGTATATTTTGAATAAATATAAATAAATTTCCAGAAAAAAATGAAGTTAAAGAAAGCTTTTTTGTATGCTATTTGGGTTTATTGTCCATTTTTTTAATTGGCTGCTTACTTTTTTACTATTGAGTCTTTTGTATCTCAATATTAACCCTTCAGATGTGTAATTTGCTATTATTTCCCATTTGGTAAGTTGCCTCTTCACTCTGTTGATTGTTTCCCTTTCTGTGACAAAGCTTTTTAGTTTGACATAATCCCACCTATTTATTTTTGCTTTTGTTACCTTTTTTTTGGAGTCTTGTCCAAAAAAAGAAATCCTTGCTCATTGGAGTTTCATTCCAGTGGCCTGAAGCAATTTTTCTATTTTACATTTAATTCTTTACTCAATTTTGATTTGATTTTTGTAACTGGTGAAAGTCAAGGGTCTAGTTACATTCTTCTGCATGTGGCCATCAAATCTTCCCAGAAATTCTGTACATTAATCCATTTATTGCATTATTTAATTGCAGTTGGTGGTCTATTCTGTTAATGGAATATAACATAAAGCTAATAAACACAATGTTCATATGGCTGAGGACTACAGACACACACAAAAACTGGTTATACCTAAAAATATCAGAGTTTTAATTAAAACTCAGCTAACACATGACAAATTCTTTTGCCTTTGGAATTGAATTATTTTTCTCCAAAACAGTCAAATGCTAAAAGCTTGCATTTATTATTAGACACATTACGTCTGGAAATAACAACTGTGATGGCTAATCTTGTCCACTTGATTTGCTTGAGAGCTGTGAGAAGATTAATAAAGCACACTTCTGGGTATGTCTGGATCGGTCATAAAGGCATGACTTTGGGGTCCTTGTCCCCTTCCTCTCTGCTGCTGTTACTCTTCTGTGTTTCCAGGCCACCACAAACTAAGCAACTTGTCTCCACCATGCTCTTCTGCCATGATGTTTCTTCCTTGGACCCTGCTGATCGTAGACTGACTCCTCAGAAACCATGTGCCGAGTGAACCACTTCCCCTTATAACTATAAAGTGTCAGATATTTTATTCTAGCAACAAGATACTGACCAATACATCAACTGACTGATGAAATAACTAAACTAACCTTACATTGGAAATTTTATCATTTATATTGCTCCTCAAACTTTCCCTGCCTTTATATCCCTTATACATCCGAAGTCCTGTAGTCTTCATCTCATATAATATTAATAGGATATTTACAACTAAAGTAAACAATGAAATATACTTTGTCTTTTAGAAAACAATGGAAAACTTCTACAGGAATTTTCTAAATTGTCTTCTTCACATGTTGACTCTTGCAAACATCTATTTATACAATCCTTTAAATCTCAATTATTAAGTATAATATGTAAAAAGAATCAAAACTGTAGTGCGTGTCAAAAGTGAAGCATATGAATAAACAATCATTTAAAATTTATTTAACAGTTAGTATAACAATAAAAATAGCAAAAATTAAATACTTATAGAAGAATATTGGGATTTTTGCTTTTTTTAGATGTCTAAAAATTCAATTCTAGGTCTTAACAATTATAGAAATTATGGGGTTATATTCACCAAAATACTTAAAATTTAGATAGTCATCATCAGAATGCTAACAAGAAGATTAAAACTTTAATGGAAAAGGGTCGAGGATTTAGCCCAGTGGTGCCCCGCCTGCCTCACAACTACGAGGTCATGAGTTTGATCCCCAGTAACACACACACAAAAAACTTTAATGGAAAAACGTAAACTAATCAGATTGTGTGTTTTCCTTTGGTTATTATTTTATTGTAATCAGTTACTTGTCTAAGAACTGTTGCAAATGACTGAATATGCATGAGCTTTCTGTAATGATAACAAAATACTTGACACAGGGCACTTATGAAGTGAAGTTTGTTTTGTCTCATGTTTTGGGAGGTGCAAGTCCAAGATTAGGCAGCACCATTGGCAGCACCTTCTGATGAGGGTGGGGCCCATCATGGTGGAAGCATGTATCAGATCAAGTGCTCACATCTTGCAGCAGGAAACAGGGAGAGAGGGAGAGAGGAATGGAGGAGAGGGGAGTGGAGAGAAAGAACACTGAGATCCTACAATCCAAGGGTATGTCCCCAGTGACCTAAGGACCTTCCACTAGGCTCTCCATCTTAAAGGTCCCCAGCATCTCTCAATACTGCCTCCCTGAGAACAAAGCCTTTTAATTCGGACCCTTGTGGTGACACATATCCCAACCATAGCAACAAGGGAACATGATGGTAAGACAATTGTCCTATCTTCTTTGTCTAATATTATGGCTATTTGTTTACAGATTTTTCTATTATTCATATGCTTACTATTGTATCACTTTTTTTTTTTACTAGGATATACTGCTTCTAGTCCTAGTTCACAGTGTTAACTCTGAACTTTCCTCACTCTCACAAGTGACCAATTTTTCCCTAACACTTAGCACTAACCCGTGGCAGAGCAGGGACCACGGCTATCAGAAGTGTCATGGCAGAGGTAGTAGCAGCCATCGACTTTAAGAAGAAACAAAACAAAAAACAGAGAAGCAGACCACAGGCCAGTACAACATCAACTCAAAAGCATAACCAAACTCCTCTTGACTTGAAGCACCTTAAGTCACCTCTTACATTGACCCCAATATAAACCAAGAAGTACAGGATGTCCAGCTCAGTGCTCACTTCCCTAGTCTTGTCCTAGGCTGTAAAAAAAAAAAAAAAAGAATCAGCATTGGGAGTCTCATCAGTAGTAAAAGGAAATCTTGATACATCATCTTTAAAAGATTTCACAATTGCTAGAGCTTTACTCCTAAAGCAATAAAAAATAATTTCCTACACTGAACAACTTTCTAAGATAGGTGAATCAAGAAAAGAAAAACATAAATTGAGATAATGCTGTGATTAATTGTGATAATGCTGTGTCTAACTAGGTGGGATTAGAACTGTTTTCACAGTATAGAGGCTTAGTGTGTGGAATGAAGATCCAGATTTTGAAGGTTAGACTCTTGATTAAACCATTTCTGAGTTGTGTGATATTGGGTAAATAATTAAATCTCACTGTGCTATATATACTGAACTGTATAATTTGCCTCAGTTTCCATAGGAATTAGTTTCAGGATCCCTGGGATACCAAAATCTGTGGATGTTTACATGTTTTATATAAAATGGTGTAGTACTTCCATATAAGCTATGAAATCCTCCTATATACTTTAAATCAGTGATGGTGAACCTTTTAGAGACTGAGTGCCAAACTGCAACCTAAAACCCACTTATTTATCTCAAAGTCCAACACTACAATTAAACCTGAATACTGAGGTTCTAGTTTAGAAAAAAACAACTCTACATTAACATCTTTTGTTTAAAAAAAAAAAACACCACAGTAACACATACGACATAGGTTCACCACCACTGCTTTAAATCATCTCTATATTACTTAAAACACCTAATGCAATATAAATGTTATATAAATACCTATTATATTGTTCAGGGAATAATGAGAAGAAAAAAGCTTTGTACGTGTTCAATACAGCTGCAACCATCATATGCCTAACTACATATTTGATCCTTGATTGCTCTCAGAATGTAAATAAGCAGCCTGGTAGCTCTTGGAGTTAGTCAAGCCACATCTTATTCTATGGTTGGTTATGGTTTGTCCCCCAAAGATTCATGTATTATAAGGTTGGTTCCCAGTTAACCATATTAAAAGGCGGTAAAACCTTTAAGAGTTAGGGCTTAGCAGGAGGTAATCAAATGATGGGAACATCACTCTCAGAAATTATTAATGTCCATCTCACAGGAGACCCATACTTAAAACTGGATTAATTACCTGAGAGCAGGTTGTTGTAAATTAAGTCTACCCTATATCTTTGACCTCTGAAGCATGGACCACTTGGCGTACTTACAAATGCTCTATGTGAGGTCCTCCGCTATGTTACAACAAACCAACAGAACTAAGACATCCTCCCACTGCCCTTATGTTGTAGTCCACTCACCTTTCAACAACTGTTTTTATATTCCTCTTCTATTACTTGCATATGACTTAAGAATTGGGTCCTACTCTGCTTTATTTATGTCCGATGGTTGATATACAAAAAAGATGTATAATTAAAAATAAAATGTTTTATTATTTTAAAATTTCCTTGATATTGTTATGAGGTTTACATGTAATAATATCTACAATGCTTCAGGAGTGCCTGACAAGTACTCTGTAAGTATTATTACATGCCCTCTTCCTCAAACCTACTAATTAGAATTATGTCAACCATATACTCTGTAGCATTATTTATAAATGCTTTCACTACACTAACATAATATGTAAGGGACAGCAATCTCAAGATGTGATACCATTGGTCTAATTTCCAAATTATCCCAGATCCCATTAAAGGTTCATCTGAGGGGGGATCTTTAGAGAGAATCTCATCTCTGCAATCTCTAGGACTGGGTGTGGGACATTTGAGGTATCTGGAAGTGGCTATATATTCTTGGTGCAAACCCAGTACCTGTCCTTGTAGAATGTTCCTCCAATTTCTATAGGGAGTGAAGAGGACTTGGTGAGACTTTGGGAAAAAGAGTACTGTGACTCCCCTCAGTCCCTTTCCCATGCCTTCCAGCACTTTATGCTCCCATTACCAACTACATCTCTAAATTTTCATTTAGATTATTTTATTTTCACACTAGCTATGCAGTCATCAAGCCTTGTCTTATTTACACAACTATGAGGTTGATTTTTCCAAAAATATAAAGGAAATGTGGTTCTTAAATATTTTTTAGGTTTTTTTCCAGCTGGTGTTTCTATATATACATTTTCAGAAGTTTTTAAATATACTTTCAGTAGAAAGTAAAACATTGTGTCCTCTAGTTATTTAATTCATTTCAAGATTGTTTGATTTCAGATAAAGAACTTGTTTTTTCTGGTAAGCAACCACTTACCTTATATGAACTCCCTATTAAAGCACTGCCCAGACCGATGTCTAACAGAATCTGTGAAAGTATGGCATCCATTAGAATATAGTATGGTTTGCTTTCTCCTCTTTTTTAAAAAGAACTTTTTGAGAGATTATAGCCATATTTGGAGATCAGGAACAGTGCTGAAATAGACGTTGGACCTTGAACTTTAAGCTTTCTCCAGAGAAAACTGGATTTGATACAAAAAAGAGGTCAATGTTGCACCAGCCCAAACTTGCACAGCATTTGGGATAAACACACATGCGCATGCACACACAGACACAAACACACACACACAGGCACACACACACGCACAAGTACAGAATGGAATTTTCCCAGTGTGAATATTTAAGTTCCTAAATTCTGTTTTATTTGTAAATGTTCAACAGGAAGGAATACAATTAAATATGATAAGATATAAAAATATAGAATATACTGTTAGGAAACTATTAAAATATTATTTTCAAAGGATTTTAAGTGTATATATGTGTGTAAATATCTATGTATTTCTATCAGTACATATATATTTATTATAGAAAGGAATACACAAAATGTTAACAGTAGTTATATTTAGTGGT